AAATCCTGACTTCAATCACTTCCCACCTTCCCTCATACATTAAATGCTTATTTGTGGCCAGTGGGTTTTGCTGCATTAAACAGGCACTACCTCATTAAATGAAGCATGGGACCCTGTTGTCACGTGATGATTTGCCTTTAATGCCTTTGGCCGTGATTTTGTTCGGCCTCGGCCTCGGCCTGCGCTCGAGGCAGAGATGATCATGCCTTAGCATTTTTCTTTTGTCTTTAAGAAGGCAAAGCACCCTGTTGAAACGCTGCGTTTCAGTTTTACGAGCAAGTGCCAGGGCCGAGAAAAGGGGCTCCTTCGGCCAGCTCATGGCCGTGATTTATTAGGCACAAACATTGCCCCCACATCCCTGGATTCTTCGGCGCATTTAATGCCTCAAGCACGTCGTGTAGGCCATCATTGCCCAGGGCGTCGCTTCGCCTCGTCAAGTGAAACGACGGTCTCTGGATTTTCCACGCGTCATCGCGCTCTCAATTCGCACGAGCGATCATTTTGCCTTGCTAATCGAAACATCGGCTGCCATGTCTCTGTCATAATTTCGCTTGCTCTGAGTGCGCTGTCAGGCCGTTTTATCTTTCGAGAATCATACCTCTGTGTTTTGAACTCCAGCGCCAGTATAAAACCCAAAACTCTTTCGCATTTTCTTTCACACTCCCAAAATCTCTGAGTTCATGTTCTTCGAAGGTTCGCACTGACTTTCCCCAGTTTTCTCAGCCCTCTTTCCCCAAATTTGAAACTCTTTTATTATTCAGTGAACTTCCTTCTCGCTTTAATTACTCTGGAGCCCTTTTTCGATTCTTGGGCTTCGTCCTCCTTTATTTCAACCTGCCCTAATGATCCTCATTGCAGCCTCCTCAAAACTAGGGAACCATATCTGCTGAGTCTCATGCCTTGGCAATTTGGCCTGGTCCAGATGACTTGGCAGTTTGATGAGGGCGAGAGGACCTGGGATGATGACCCCAACGTGGCCGAATTTATGCGGCTGAGTACCCTAGTCACATCCATGGCCGGAGTGACGGCCCTCACCATGGCTGGAGTGATGGCTCCTACCATAACCGGAATGACGACCGCTTACCATGGCCAGAGTGATGGCCGCT